GTGTGTGTGTGTGTGTGTGTGTGTGTGTGTATCGAATATGTTTTCACTAGTCTTAGTAAGTCATCAATAATTTTTATAATAACCATTGCTCAGCATTGAGCAACATAAAATTTATTGGTATTTTAAATGTCACTAATATGATTCAGTTACACTTGTAGCTCATATTATATCATTTTCTGGAATTTCAGACCATATGTAATCGGTAAAATAATATTATGCTGAACTTATAATTTTTCATACTTAATTTAAATAAAAAATCTGATTGCTAGTTGCGATTGAAACATAAAATAAATAATATATATGATATACATAGTAAATGTGTACATTTAATTTTACAAATATACTGTATAATACAGTAGAACCTCAAGTAAAAATCCTTCTTGATTTATTTAGTTATTTTTCTTAAACATATTGCTAATTTGATTGATTAAAAAAGATAATGAACCGTAGAAAGTCTTAAAAAAATATATCTAATTCCGTGGTCACTACGCGTATACTGTCTCGTACCTACCCACCTAGTTTCATCTCAGTCATTGGAGTGACCAATAATAAATATTACAGACAATTTCACATTATTAATTTATAATTATTAAGATAGTAAATTATTACTACCAAAATACCGAGCTAAATGTCAATTTAAAGATTTTTAATAAAATATAATATGATTTTACACAAATATTTCTTATCCAAATAAACACACCATTTTTAGTCAATAGTAATTTTGCTGCCTTCTTTTGACAACTCCCTCAATGTCCCTCGGAGCCGCGACGCATAGTTTGAATACCTCTACTTTCCATAGTTTTAAATATATCACCTAATTTCTTTACATTAATTTGTGTATTGCCATAGTCTTTAACGCAGGAGCTAATGACGTTAGTATGCAATTGTCTAATTTTATTGTTTGATTTTTTCTTTTTAAATATTATGAATAATTGTAATCTGCTATAAAATAACATTTACCATTACATAGTTAATACTTTTGTGTTGTATAGAAATGTTTATAATTTTTTGTTAGTAAATATTGAATTATGAATTTTATTATGGTATTCTAATATTGTAATATAATTATATTGGTGATTGTAATGATTATTGTAGTATTTTAATTGTAATAATTTAATTATTGTAATATTGTAATTGAAATATTGTAATATTGTAATTGAAATATTGTATTTGTATTGATGTAAATATTTATTTTTTTTAAATTTATTTAAATAACTACCTAAAAATGTTTTATAATTATCTGAGACACAAATATAATGATGCAAAAAAAATGAAGGTTATTCAATATAAATAAAATATATCAATGTAACTAATTGTCTTTACTCTCAACGAATTTGGTTTATTTATTGATTACTTAGTTCCAGTTATGTATAACTCTTTACCTTTAAATATTAAAAAAAATATTTTTAAACATTATACTTCAAAATCTAATAATATTAAGTTCATTAAAATAATTGTTAAAAATTGGTTATCAAGTAAATTTGTGTAAATGAAAACTTTATTATAATATAGTATCTGTAAAACTTATTTTTAGTGATATATGCCAACATGTACAATTATTTTATTTTATTTACTAGTTATTGTATACTGTAACTCGCTTATTTGGTTAAATTAATCAAGCTCTAATAAATATATTTATTTTGATAAGATTTGCAGCGAACCATAAAAATAGACGACTTGTCCTTATATAGTTGTTTAAGATATATATTGTATACCTATATTAATATATGATAAAAAATGCTGACAAAAAACAGAAAGGGGCCAAAAAATGTTGGTACTTACGACGATCATAACAACGGTCTTATACTACGCTTTCGCAGTTGTTAAGCCATTTCCTCAATTGTTGTATGAAGCCTTCATAATGAAGGAATTGTTATGACAAGGCCTTTGTAAATGTATTGTTACTTCACAGAATTTTAGGTCTCCTTAATAATATCACTATTCTTTAATTCCCCATTATTATAATTCTTATTACGTAGTAGGTTAGTTTGTGTACTTATTATTATATTACGAACGCGCGCTTTAAGCAATATAATAAATTTTAAACAACAACAATATTATGCAACACACATCCCCCGTTCCCCCGTTTCATGGCAGTGCTAGAGCAACTTGACTCACCGATCCATGGCGTCCACCGCCGTCTCGTCGTCGTTGTCAACATTTTCCCACAGCAGTTCAAGATGGACTCCAAAATTTATAATATTGTACCAAAGTTCTTGTTTAACCGAAACTAATCTGCCACAATATTCAAACACCTCGATACAACGGCCCGACGGACCGAACGCCGCTGCGGACCAACGACTTCTTCTTTCTTCTTTCCGCGAAATCTGACTCTTCATGTCACGTAAGTCTGACCCCAATACAGGAACGTCGCCAAGGGGGGGCCTAAGGGAGCCTGGCCCCCCAAGAAAAGTCAGTGTCCCCGAACTGGCTCCCTTGATTTTTATTTTTAAATATTATATACTAAACTGGCTAAATCCTGAATGTACGAGTCTATTATACGGTACTCCATACAGTTAACGATCGTAAAACAAAAATTGAATCCTGAGATTTTATTTCACAAGCAGTATTCGTCACTCGACAATTTGAGATAATGAGATAAGACAATAATACTAACCTCAGAAACCAGGAATTCTAAATACGGGTCTCGAACGCACATTTGATAAACACAATTACAGACAAACCTAACAAAATTAAAATTAACAACCTATCCATGTGATACCTAAGTAATGATTTAGATGAATTTACTGAAAGATTTACAGCGAACCATAAAAATAGACGACTTGTCCTTATATAGTTGTTTAAGATATATATTGTATACCTATATTAATATATGATAAAAATGCTGACAAAAAACAGAAAGGGGCCAAAAAATGTTGGTCCCCTTATAGAAAAATGTCTGGTTACGTTTCTGACCCACTATCTAGTGCACACACATAACTACCTCGCAGTCTTCACATTGATGTCCGACTTGTACACATCGGTCATTTTGTTTTTTCAATGTTGTCTATTCCAACCATGATAGGCTGAGATGATCCCGTGGGCCCGTGGCTGTCGAATATAGCTAACAATTCAATAATCCAATAATCTCAAACCGACATGTGTCGTTTTTATAACATTTAATACTTTCTCATGTCCTCCCTTTTTACTCATCATAAAGAGCTTTGCTCATTGGCTTAAATTAATCAAGCTGCAATAAATATATTTATTTTGATAAAAAAAAAAATAGAGACACGTATAATGTATTTGAACAAAAAAACGACAAAAACATTTTCAAAACGGTAGGTACAGTAAAATGTGCAGAATGAAATAAGCAGTACCTTTATTGTACACTCTGTAGATATTATGAATATGTGTGTCTTTTGTGTACCCGTGTCATATTTCGATACGTTTAAATACGCTTGGAATTTTCAGGAAGGTACAATGAAAGATTAAAATATTTTACACAACCAATATAATACAATAATATAATATAATGCCGGTATATATATGGACATTTCCGACCCCTCGCGACAGCTGCAGTCCAGGAATATAATGTTGCCCATTGTATAATGGGTATTTCATAAAAAATACTGCGTAGTTTGACGATACTACGCAGTTGTTTTATATAGAAACTGCGTAGTACGACGATTTAACAATGATTATATACATTTTATACAATAGTTGAACCCGTCCCACCGTTTGCTAATCAATATTTAAATCACTATTTAAATTTGCATTATGCCAAAGGAATTGATGAAGTTTTATAATTGAACGAGTTCGAGCGCTGCTAAATTAAGAACTTGAACATTTGGTACATGCTACTAGATATAATAGGTACATTGTGAGGTACCTCAACTTACTTGGTATGTACTACGACGTGACAGGTATTCGTGTGATCAAACCAGGTTTGCTTGACAACTTTCCTTCAACATTTTCAACCAATAAGTAATAGGAATAACTTATATCGTATCTTTCAAAT